CATCAAAGTATTTCTGTATAATTACTTTCTTACATGACTGCGTTCCCAAACAGCAGGCATCCACCTCTAAAAGCAATGACCACATTTATTGTGTTACGTCTGCTATCTCTGAAGTGCAAGTAATTTATTACATATGAAAATTATTATTTTCAGTGGCTTCTCCTAGTTTTCTTATAGATATTTAGTGCCAGTTTATCAGGAAGTGACGATTTTGTTCTCTTTGACTCGTTGGATGGAAACGGTGCTTTATTTGCAAATGTTTTATGCGATATTCCAGTTTTGCGCATAAGTTACATTTGCATCTTTGGATGGAAACATAGCTATTGTCTCATTTCACACAGCAGTGGATGTCTTCTTCAGAGTGAATCACAACAAACTAAAATAGACCTACTTGCAGGACGTTTTCTTCATCTGGCCTTCATATTGATTTCTCAGTTTTAGTACAGTATGATGTAGGATGTTGGTATTTGCAGATTTTCATATGATGTCTTGGTTTAGAGCCTGTAAAAATCTTGTGAGAAGATATGGCTGTCAGAGATGGCTGCCGGGATCAGTGTTGCAGTGACGATGACAAATCAGCCAATGAGCGGACATCCCATGTGAAAGGATGCTATTTTTGGCAGCGTTGATATTACTCAGCAGAGTAAGGCAAACTGGGCTGGTGAGCCTGTTCCCATGAAATGGGTGTTCAGCAAGCATTTTCTATGGAAGCATGGATTTAGATAATACCCAGTTAATGAGTTTGTTGAACATTTCTGGTATGATATATACTGCCATGAACTGTTTGTTCTTCAAATATTGACTGCCTTGCTACTGAGGCGGTCGGGACAAATGTGGTCAGTGTGAACATCCTGGCCAGCACCAGGTAAGTTCGTCAGAGTTCCAGCACAGGGAGGATCACGTTTCCCCTCCCGTGCTTTGGCATGACAGAAAACAACATAGTGTCAGATTACTGGCCAGTCCGCTTTAGCACTCTAGCACCTCTACCAAAAAAACTGATTGTATGGAAACATAGATCTCCGTTTCCTGGAACGATTTGACTTGAAGTGCGGTCACATTTAATGATCCTGGCTGGAATTTCGAAATGCAGTAATTTCAGTTTTGCGTGAGGGCAAAAAAGTCAAAGATTTCATTAGTGTTTAAGTTGGTCACCTAAATTAGCCACATTGACCAACAGAAAGGTCTGAAAGTCAAATATGTGTGAGCTACTATTGAAAATGGACCTTTTTTGCCCTGCAAAATTTCGGCTAATTTGACCGCATCTTATGAGAGCAACATTTCAATCCATTTGACGTTCCAGCACAGGGAGGATCACGTTTCCCCTCCCGTGCTTTGGCATGACAGAAAACAACATAGTGTCAGATTACTGGCCAGTCCGCTTTAGCACTCTAGCACCTCTACCAAAAAAACTGATTGTATGGAAACATAGATCTCCGTTTCCTGGAACGATTTGACTTGAAGTGCGGTCACATTTAATGATCCTGGCTGGAATTTCGAAATGCAGTAATTTCAGTTTTGCGTGAGGGCAAAAAAGTCAAAGATTTCATTAGTGTTTAAGTTGGTCACCTAAATTAGCCACATTGACCAACAGAAAGGTCTGAAAGTCAAATATGTGTGAGCTACTATTGAAAATCGACCTTTTTGCCCTGCAAAATTTCGGCTAATTTAACCGCATCTTATGAGAGCAACATTTCAATCCATTTGACAGCTTACTTGAAATGTGTGACTAGTCGCTGTCATCTAGACTATGACCTGTGCTAACATTTCATCTCCTCTCTGTTTTTCAGAACTCAAAGAGTGCCCAGGGCCTGGTGGGTCTTCGTAATCTGGGAAATACAGTAAGTGTTTTTTAATAGGATGTACTAGCTGCTCTCATAGGTGAAATGTGTGCTTGTATTCTGTAGGACTTTTTTCTTGTCAATTTTTGGCTCAAACCTTCGAGCTGGACTACAGTGCCTTGCGAAAGTATTCATATTTTTTTCACGTTTTGTTATGTTGCTGCCTTATGTTAAACTGCTTTAAATCCATACACCATAATGGTAAAGCAAAAAACAGGTTTTTAACATCTTTGCAAATTTATTAAAAATAAAAAACTTTGATTCCATAAGTATTCAAAAAAGCACCTAAAGGACCCCCCAGACTGTGAGAAACAAGATTCTCTGGTCTGATGAACCTCAATTCCAAGCATCATGTTTGAAGGAAACCAGCTCTGCTCAGCACCTGCAGAGTACCATCCCAAAAGTAAAGTGTGCTGGTAACAGCCTCATGCTGTGGGGCTGTTTTTCAGTGGCAGGGACTGAGGCACTCATCAGAGTAGAAGAAAAGCTCAATGCACCAAAATATAGAGACAGCCTTAATGAAAACCTAGTCCAGAGCATTCAGAACCTCAGACTGAGCAGAAGGTTCACCTTCCAACAGGACAACGACCCTAAGCACACAGCAAGAGTGGCTTATAGACAACTCTGTGAATGTCCTTGAGTGGCCCAGCCACGGCCTGGGATTGAACCCAGTCAAATATTTCTGGAGAAACCTGAAAATGTG